TACAATGGGTAGGGTGTTTGCCTTGCACACTGCCAACCCAGGTTCAATCACTGGCATTCCATATGGTCCCCCTAAGAACTCAGGATTAATTCCTGAGTGCGGAGCCAGGATAACCCATGAACCCCTGAGCATTGCTGGTTATAACCCCCAAAAAGCAAAAAAAGCAAAAAAAAAATCAGAAATATTTAAGGCAAGAAATACTCCTATTGTCTGGAATTACTTGAGTTTGCAGTAAATTTTGCTTAGAAACCTCAAAATATAGAAAAGCAGAAAGAAAAGGCAACCAACCAGACTTTTGCAAAATTATTGTGGTTTTCAAAAAGCAGAAGATTGGGGGGCAGGGCATGTACAAGGTCCCAAGTTTAATATGACGCCCCCCAAGTGCTGCCAGGTAAAGTTTTGGTGACTCCAGCCCTCCAGCCCCGTTCTCAGTCTAAACACTGATCTATGACTGTGTTTAGGCCACCCAGGCCACCCAAAATATTAACTAGTTTTATTATTTATTTATTTATTTATTTTTTTTTTTGGCACTGCCTTTCAGCATAAAGAACCCACATGCTGGGCCCACTTCTCTGGCAGAGTCACTCACTGACTTTAACAAATACAGCACAGCCCGTTAAGTTCAAATTCAAGATAAAGAACTGAATGTTTATTATCTGTCCTAAGTATTGTATGGGCACGCTTATGCGTTTAAAACACCTTTGTTGCTTATCTGACATTGGGAATGAACTGGGAGTCCTTTTAACCAGCAGAGTTAACTGTTAGTCTGCCTACGATAGCCAACAAGTTAACTGTTAGTCTGCCTCTGTTAACCAACAGTTACTGGCACCCGCTCGAGTAAATCGATGAATAACGGGGATTAAGTGATTAAGTGATTAAGTGATTTATTTTTTTGCTTTTTGGGTCACAACCAGCAATGCACAGGGCTTACTCCTGGCTCTGCACTCAGGAGTTACTCCTGGCAGTGCTCAGGGGACCATATGGGATGCTGGGAATCAAACCCGGGTCGGACACGTGCAAAGTAAATGCCCTACCCGCTGTGCTATATCTCCAGCCCCTATTTTTTTTTTTAAATTAATGTTTAAAGTTAGCCTTTGGATAAGTCTTCGCATATGGGAAATTCAAATATATTCAAAATATTCAAAAAGCAGACTCTTCCCAAAGACTTCTTGGGGCCAGAGAGATAGTACAGTGGGTAGAGCACTTGCCTTGCATGCAGCTGAACTGGGTTCAATCCCCAGCACCACATATGGTCCTTTGAGCGCTGCCAAGAATGATTCCTGAGCCAGAGCCAGGAGCAAGCCCTGAGCACCACTGGGTGAGGTTCCAAAACAAACAAACAAAAGAATTTGGATTAATATGTTAGCCAGATACCTCTGAAACTTTGTCAGGGATGGCAGGGCACACCTGTCAGTGCTTAGGGGCCACCACATGGAGTGCTGGGATGTGAGCAAGGGTCGCGGCTGCATCCACATGGTAGGCAAGTTCCTCAGCCTCTGTGTTCTCGCCTGATCCCAACAGTTCTGAATCTTAAAAACTTCGTGAGAGGAGGCTGGGGATGTTGCTCAGTCATAAAGCATTTGCCTTGTAAGGGTGAGGCCCTGGGTTTGAGTCTAGCACTCAAGAAAGAAAAAAAAAAGACAAACAAAGGTTGAAGAGATATTCCAGGGGGTAAATCCCTTGGCTTGCATGCAGTCAATTCTAGTTGGATTCCTAACACCATATATAATCCCCAGAGCACTGCCAGGAATGACCCCTCTGCATAGACCCCAGGAAGAGATCCTAAGACCACTGGGTATGCAAATATCCCCTCCAACCCCTCATATGACTTGTAACAAGATAGAAGGAATCACTTTACCAAGGTTCATGAGTTGGGAGAGTCCATAGGGATGAGAGTTTGACACACTACCAGTTAACTGTTGGTTAACTTACGCAGACAAACAGTTAACTGTTGGTTAACAGAGGCAGACTAACAGTTAACTTGTTGGCTATCGTAGGCAGACTAACAGTTAACTCTGCTGGTTAAAAGGACTCCCAGTTCATTCCCAATGTCAGATAAGCAACAAAGGTGTTTTAAACGCATAAGCGTGCCCATACAATACTTAGGACAGATACTAAACATTCAGTTCTTATCTTGAATTTGAACTTAACGGGCTGTGCTATATTTGTTAAAGTCAGTGAGTGACTCTGCCAGAGAAGTGGGCCCAGCATGTGGGTTCTTTATGCTGAAAGGCATTTGCCAATCTGAGTCATCAGGGAGCCTGAACTGTGTTCTCAAAGCTTCTGTGGACTTAAGGTCACAGAATTGGAGCTCAGGGTCTTCCAAGGTGGGGAGACTCAAATAAACTACTGCTGGCATTGTCCTTTGCTTTAATGACCCCCAATGAACCATGGCTCTGGGTATTCATAACTTTCCTCAGTGTGCTGATCGTATGACCCACTTAACCCAAAGACTGTGGCAGAAGGAGGGCAGGCCTAGTTGAGAAAGAAACTTCTGGAGGATGGAGCGATAGTACAGCGTGTAGGGCATTGCCTTGCATGCAACCGACCCAGGTTCAATCCTCGGCATCCCATATGGTCCCCCAAGCACTGCCAGGAGTAATTCCTGAGCGCAGAGCCAGGAGTTACCCCTGAGAATTGCTGAGTGTGACCCAAAAAGCAGAAGAAAAAAGAAAGAAAGAGAGAAAGAAAGAAAGAAAGAAAGAAAGAAAAAAAGAAAGAAAGAAAGAAAGAAAAAAAGGAACTTCTGGGGGCCAGTGGCTAGGGCACTTGCCTTGCACGCAGCCGACCTGGGTCGATCCCATAAGATCCCCGGAGCCTTCCAGGAGTAATTTCTGAGCGCAGAGCCAGGAATAACAAAAGAAGAAGAAAGTCACTTCCATATTTTGGCTCTAGGGAAACTCAGCTGCCATGTATGTAATCCAACTACCCTACAAACAGGGACCTACCCGAGGAATCGGTGACGTGTTCGCAGCTGGATTTCAACTGGTATGGATCTGTGGCCATTCCCTGTGTGTCATTTCCTCCCTTTTGAATATCTATTAAGATTTTCCTTTCTCCGCCTCCCCATTTCCTGTGGGGGACAGATAACCCGTCTCTTTCATTTAAAGGTCTTTGGGTCCAGAGGAACTTGACTTGAGAAACCCCTTTCAGACCTGGATCTGATTTAGATGATGCAAATGATGAACTTTTAAGTTTGTTGCTGGTACATACTGGGGTGAGACTGGGGGATGTCCAGGGGGTGGTGAGTATATTTCACATGGGGGAGTGAGTGAATCACTGGGAAACAGAGGCCTGACTGTAGTAGATTGTTACTTTGGGCTTCCCCAGTGAATCATCCATCTGAGTACTCACACCATTATTATTCCCTCCCATTGAATCTGGACTGGCCATGTCCTGCTTAACCAATAAAATATGGCTAAAGTGATGCTCTCGGTTCCAGGCCTAAATCTTCAGAAGGCCTGGAAGCTTCCACATTTGCCCCCGGGAGGAATCCTCTGGCCGTTTAGAAGTCCAGCTGTCTCGAGGCCGCCACCCTGAGAAACTCATCAAGTCTCACAGGGACATGAGTGAGGAAGGGCTGGGGCCCTGACTTACACTCCTGCTGAGACCTTCCACGAAACTCCCGTCAACTTGGACGCAGGCCTAGTTAGGCTGCCCCGACAGACACCAAACAGAACAGAGACCAGTTGTCTCTGCCGAGTATTATCCAAATTGTAGGATTAGGAGCAGAGAAATATAACAGTTATTGTTGTAAGCCAGGAGTAAGCAAATTAGGAACCTGCTGGTTGCTAGTCCTTTGTGGGGGCAAATGAGGGACCCACATGTGGTAATACTTCAGGGCTACTCTTGGCGGTACTCAGGAGTTGCCAGAGATTGAACCTGGGCCTCCCACATACGAAGCATGTTGTCTAGCATGGGAGCCTGTGTTTGTCCTTTGTCGTTGTTTCAAACAAAACAAAACCTTCCTAAGCCGGAAAGATAGTACAGGGGGTAAGGCACTTGGCTTGTACACTGCTGACCCTGGTTTGATTCCCAGAATGGTATGGTCCCCTGAGCCCTGCCAGGACTGATCCCTGAGCACAGAGCCAGGAGTAAACCCTGATCGCCACTGGGTGTGACCCCAAACTAAGAAAGAAAAAAAAAAAAGAAGTTTATGGGGTTTTGTTGCTGTTGTTGTTGTGAATAACATCTATGGTGTTTTTTGTTTTGTTTTGTTTAAAATATATTACGCACTCCTGGAAATCAAATTCCAACTAAAGTCTTGGCAATGTAATTGGACAGATTTATCCCCTTCATTTTATTTAATTTTTATTTGTTGTTGCTCGAAATTTACTCCTGGCTCTGTGTTCAGGGATCACTTCTGGTGGTCTAAAGGGATGGTATGGGGATGGCATGGGATGCTGGGGATCGAATCCAGGCCGGTCGCATACAAGGCAAGTGCTGTATCACTGACCTGATTATTTTGTTATTTCGAAAAACATGTTTCTTGATTGAGGCTCTGTGATTTACAGGATTGTTGATTTATTGCACATAATTATTACATCACTTTCATCACTAGTGAATCAGTGACCCAAAATTAAGGAAAAAAAGAGTTTATAAATATTTGTTTATTTTTAATAGGGGTTACCCCTGGCTGTGCCTTGGGGTGGGTGAGAGTATTCTTGGAAGAGTGCAACCCGTCACTGGCTGTGATCAGGTCCCCCCCACAGGGTGCTATCTCGTGATACTCAGCACTTGGGGTGCCACTGGTGCTGGGGATAGTACACAAAAGCCTGGCACATGCAAAGCACATGTACTACCACTTGAGCTATCTCCCTGGCCTCTTAAACAGCTTTAATTATTCATTCACATTCCATGCAGTTCCCTTCTGTAAAGGATATAACTCAATGTGGGTTTTGTTTTGTTTTCAAAATTCACAGATACGTACAACCTTCATCACAACCCACTTTATCACGTTTTCTTTCTTTCTCTCTCTTTTTTTTTTTTTAAAAAAAAACCATGTTCCCTCTTATCTGTATCAGAACTCATACAGAACAATGAGTTCTGGGTTACAGAAGAGGATTTAGTTTTTGCACCTGTCTCCAAGTTTTTGTTCACACGTCAAACACCCACATAGGTGCTGAGAAGTGAAATCTTTAATGAGAATTTATTTTGCTTATGATTTTACTTTTACTTGTCTGGCCAGCTGTTCCTTTATGTCCTTGAATTGTGTTCTGTTCTTCATTGGCCTGTAGTGCTACTTTTGTCAGATCTGTTTTTTGCTAGAATTCTGTATTGTTCCTTGTATCTGCTATTTGTATATATTCCTGCGATTTTATTTATTTTATTTTTGGAATTTTCTTTTTAATGAGTCACCATGAGATGCTCAGTTACAAAGTTGTTCATGATTGGGTTTCAGTCATACAATGTCCCCACACCCTCCCTCTACCAGTGTACATTTCCCACCACCAATGTCCCTAGTTTTCCTCCTGACCCCCTCTACCCTGCCTCTATGGCAGGCACTTTTCTTCTCTCTCTCTCTCTCTCTCTCTCGCTCTCTCACTGCCTCCCTCTCTCTCTCCCCCACCCTCCTTTTGGGTATTAAGATTTGCAATGCAGGTACTAAAACAACAGCCCAGTTCTAAAGTTGCATTTTGAGGCTCCACATAGTAAAATATACCATGTAAGCCAAACCCTTACTCTAACCCTAGCCCCTATTCTGATCTTAACCATTTCTTTTTCTTTTTCTTTTTTTTTGCTTTTTTGGGTTCACACCCAGCCAATGCTCAGGGGTTACTCCTGGCTCTGCACTCAGGAATCACTCCTGGCGGTGCTTGGGGGACCATATGGGATACTGGGAACCGAACCCGGGTCGGCTGCGTGCAAGGCAAACACCCTACCCGTTGTACTACCGCTCCAGTCCCCATATTCTTTAAACAGCCTAAAAGCCTAAATTGAACAACAGACCAATATGTAACTTTCTATTTTTACTTGATAGGCAGTTAAACCTGGCACCTACAAAATACCTTAACCTACACCTAACCCAAGCTGAATTCTAATAAAACCCTAACCCAATACTAAGCTTGATCCTAGGCTTGACTCATACCTACCAGTTAGCCTAATTTTAACTGTCACCTAATGCTTAACTTGGATTTTTCAGCTTGAACATAGAAAAACTTAAATCATAACACTGAAACAATAGAATCCCGAAATCTAGCCCTTATCCTCCTAAACCTATCCTATACTAATTCTGACTCTAGCCTTAAAAAAAAAAAAAAATAGATTGGGGCTGGAGCGATAGCACATCGGATAGGGCATTTGCCTTGCACACAGCCGACCCGGGTTCGATTCCCAGCATCCCATATGGTCCCCCTGAGCACCGCCAGGAGTAATTCCTGAGTGCAGAGCCAGGAGTAACCCCTGTGCATCGCTGGGTGTGACGCAAAAAGAAGAAAAATAGATTGTTTTATTGAATTGCTGTGAGTTAGACCCTTACAACGCTGTTCATAATGAGGTTTCAGTCATACAGTGTTCCAACACCCATCCCTCCACCAGTGTACATTTCCCAGCACCAGTGTCCCCAGGTTCCTTCTCATCACCCTCCACCCTCCACCCCTTGCCTGCCTCTATGGCAGGCACTTTTCCTCTTTTTCTCTCTTTCTCTCTCTGTCACTCCTTTTCCTCTCTCTGTCTCTCTCTGTCCCTCTCTGTCTCTCTCTCTGTCTCTGTCTCTCTCTTTTTAGGCATTGTTGTTTGAAATACAGATGCTGAATGTCACTTTATCACATTTTCATCACCTCCAAAAGAAGCCTCTTAATTTAGCTTCATTTATCTGTTCTTTCTTAATATTCTCAGTTCTGAAGCAATCTACTGATTATTTTCTATTTTCCTTGTTCTAGACATTTCATAAGGGTGGAATCACACAATACATAGTCTTTTGTGATTTTTGCTTCTTTTACTGACTTGGTTTTGGTTTTGGGGCCACATCCAGTGTTATTGAGGGCTTACTCCTGGCTCTGCACCCAGGGGACCAAATGGGATGCTGAAGATCTAACCTTGGTCTGCTGCATGCAAGGCACAAACCCTACCTACTGCACTGAAGTCTTCAGCTCAGTTTTACTTCTCTTAATGTTTTAAGATTTCATCCATGTTGTAGCACTCCCTTCAACATTTTATTATTTTTATGGCTCAGTAACCTTCCATTTTATGGGTATACCACAGTTGATGGACATTTGGGTTGTTTTGGTTTATTATGAATAATGTTGATATATACAACTGGAGTCCCTTTTTTAAATTCTTTGAGCCTATCTATATAGCAGTATAATGGCTGGGTCCTAGGATAACTAATTATACATCTAACATTTTTTTTTGTTTTTGTTTTTGTTTTTTTTTTAATTTTTGGGTCACACCCGGCGATGCTCAGGGGTTACTCCTGGCTCATGCACTCAGGAATCACTCCTGGCGGTGCTCGGGGGACCATATGGGATGCTGGGAATCAAACCTGTGTTGGCCATGTTGGCTGCGTGCAAGGCAAACGCCCTACCCACTGTGCTATCACTCCAGCCCCACATCTAACATTTTAAGAAGTACTAAATTGTTTTCACAGTGGCTTGTACTTTTTTTACACTCCCACCAGTGATGTAAGAAGGATCTCATTTCTTGCATACCCAATTCACTTAATACCCTTGCTGAAAATTTGCTGGCCACAGAAATAGACTCAATTCTACTTCATTGACTCATTGACTTATTCTTGTCCCAGAATCAACTGCTGCTTACTGTGGCTTTGTAGTAAGTCTTGAAATCAGGAAATGTGAGTCTTATTTTGCTTTTCTTTATTGTTTTGGGGGCAACATCTTTCAGAGGTTGGGATTTCTCCCAGTGGTGCTCCAAGACCATACCGTTATCAGGGATAATAGAGCTGGGACTCTTGCATGCAAAGCAAGTGTTCCACCATCTCCCTAGCCCCCAACTTCATTTTCCATTTTATTTATCTATTTTATTTTGAGGACCACACCCAGAAATACTCAGGGCTCTGTTGCCAGGGATCATTCCTGGCAGGGCACAGTGGGCCATATGGGGTGTTGGGGATTGAACCCTTTGACAGCCACATGCAAGGCAAATGACATATCCATTGTACTGTCTCGCCAGCACCATCATTTTCCTTTTAAAATATTATTAGGTGTACAATGGGGGGGGGGGTTGCTGGAGCGATAGCACAGCAGGTAGGGCGTTTGCCTGGCACACAGCCAACATGGCCGACCCGAGTTCGATTCCTTCGCCCTCCTCGGAGAGCCCGGCAAGCTACCAAGAGTATCTCACTCGCACGGCAAAGCCTGGCAAGCTACTCGTGGCATATTCGATATGCCAAACACAGTAACAATAAAGTCTCACAATGGAGACATTACTGGGCCTGCTCGAGCAAATCGATGAACAATGGGGGAGGACAGTGACAGTGACAGTAAAATGGGGTCTCTTGTAGGCCCATATGAGTTTTATTTATTTTAAAATGAAACTCTTTTAAAACACCACACAACTGTGCTCAAAAGCCTGGACGCTGGGGCTGGAGCAATAGCACAGCGGGTAGGGCATTTGCCTTGCACGCGGCCAACCCGGGTTCAATTCCCAGCATCCCATATGGTCCCCTGAGTACTGCCAAGGGTAATTCCTGAGTGCAGATCCAGGAGTAATCCCTTGTGTATCGCTGGGTTTGACCCAAAAATAAAAGAAAAAAAAGCCTGGAGGCCACTCCAGTGATACCAGAAGTGCTGGGACTGTTGGATGGACCCTATACTCAGTGCTACTTGTCCTGATGGGCTGCAGGTCACCAAGTCATGCCAGTGATGCTCAGGAAGGCGGGGATATGCGGTGTCAGGGATTGAACTCCAAGCTCTGTCCACACTCCACACAAAGCATGAATTCCACCCCTTTAGGCTGTCTCCTCAGCTCCTCCACATGTATTCCGGAACAGTTGTTTGATTTCTATAAAGAAGGACTGAGGGGTTTCACTACCAGGATCTCACCATTCTACAAAGAAGTAATCATCGATGTCAAGAGAGGGGTTCGGCAGGGTGATACCATTTCACCGAAACTCTTCAGTGCCACCCTCGAGAACATCATGCGACGACTGGAATGGGAAGGAATGGGAGTGAAGATAGATGGTCGGCAACTACACCACCTCTGCTTTGCTGATGACATTGTTTTAATAACACCAAACAATAGCCAAGCAGCACAAATGCTGGCCGACTTCGGCCGTGAGTGTGGAAAGGTCGGACTACAGCTGAATCTTACAAAGACAATGTTTATGAGAAACAGCCTCGTTCCTGATGCCCCATTCACTCTCAACGAAATGACCATCTCTGAATGCAACAGCTATGTGTACCTAGGTCGAGAAGCAAACATGACAAATGACCTGCCACCCGAGCTGCACAGGAGGAAGAGAGCGGCTTGGAACGCCTTCAAGAGCATCGAAGAAATAACTAAGAGGACGAAGAACCTCGGGCTCCGGGCACATCTCTTTGATTCCACTGTTCTTCCTGCATTAACATATGCCTCAGAGACCTGGGCCCTACGCAAACAGGATGAGAACGCTATTCGGGTTTCCCAAAGAGGAATTGAAAGAGCTATGCTTGGAATATCACGTTTCACTCAAATGAGAGAAAGAATCCGGAGTTCCGACCTCCGTTGCCGGTCAAGAATCAGGGACGCTGTCTCGTTTGCCAAGGTGTCGAAAATCAGATGGGCTGGTCACGTAATGAGATTTAAAGACGACCGCTGGACTAGAGCTGTTACCGACTGGATTCCACGGGATGTCAAAAGACCTCGTGGCCGCCCACCTACCAGATGGTCAGACTTCTTCATCAAGATCATGAACGATCTGTTTGAGGCTCTTCGTGTTCCTAGAGCGAACAGATGCCATTGGGCTACACTAGCACGCGACAGGGACAAATGGAGACGTTACTGGCGCCCTCTCCAGCAACTCGACGATTAACGGGAGTCAAGTGATCAAGTGATCAAGTGAGGGGTTTAAGCAAAATTTGTAGATTAATTTGGGGAACATAGCCATCTTAACAATAGTCTTTATTTTTTTTTTTTATGTAGGAGTACTGCTATTTATTCAGCCATTGATTAGCTGATTGAATTGG